ATAAAAAGCTTATTTTCAAAGTTGGCATAGATACATTTTCAAGTTAGACCTTACCAACGGATATTGGCAGGTACCAATCGCTGATAATGCCCGAAAGTTTTCGGCATTAGCGACTCCCAAAGGTCTTTATCAATTCAAAGTACGGCCTTTCGGCTTAGACACCGCCTAAGAGTTGTGCGTTCGTCTCATGCGCAAACTGTTAAACAGTACGTAAAATGTCGATGGTTTTGTAGATAATATCTTTGTTTATGCATATATGAACATGATAAGGTATTAAGGGATCTGTTCGATAGATTTCACGCTGGTAATCTTACAGCTAGACCAATCAAATGTAGTATAGGATATTTTAACCTAGAATTTTTGGGCCATCTTGTATGTAGACTTGTCCAGTTGAAACCTCACAAAGAAAAAAATAGGAAAAATCATAGACTCACCTAGATCAGAATTCAAGAAACAAGCAATATCTTTACAAGGTTTAATCAGGTTTTACAGGAAATTTTTTGCCAATAATGCAGCTTTTGCCAGCCCATTAACGGACTTCACCTGGAAAGGGCAACATAATAAAGCTTGGGGTGGGGGCAGGATAAAACGTTTAACGCTTTAAATTAACAGAAACTAATAAGTACACCAATCTTAAAGTTGCCAGAATTGAACAAAACGTTTTGTGCTGAGGACTGATGTGTCCGATACGGGACATGGGTTGTTTTTCTACAGGAGCAAGAGGGGATGAAAGTGATTGAGAAGGAGTCCTTAGCCTTGGTATGGGGGATAGGAAAATTCCATATATACTTTTTCGAGAGGGAGTTTACCTAACAAAAGGATCATCAGCCGCTCTTGTACTTGAAGAAAGCAAAGGACGCCAATGCATGATGGATGCGCTGGGCATTGTCTTTGCAACCGTATAATTTCCGAATCGAGGCGATTACAGAATCGAAAAATGTGGGTGCTGATTTTTTTTAAAAAGAGTGTATGTAGTATATTTTTTCCGTTCAAAATTAAAAATTGAATGTTTTAATAATTGTTTATGTTACAATTCCGTGATTTTTCTAAAAGTGTTACCACGTTTTTTAAGGGGCGGTTATAGTCACAGAATTGTATAAATCTTTTTTTAAATACATGTAATGAAGTATCATCAGTTTTCGTTGGGGTCCAGTTTTCGTGGTTTTCGTTGCTGCTCCAACCACGAATTTAAATCAGCAAGAGGAAATGAGCCACGTAGGATGATGACAACCTCCCTCCGTTTTCTTACAGAGTTTCCTTAACACAGCTGCTAGTATTTGATAAATCAAAATCAATAATGTAATATGGTTATTAAATAGTAGCATTTGCATGTGTTTTTATTGGGGTTTTTTATCTTTAAAAAGAAGAATTATAAATCGTTTTATCTTGTTTCAATGCACACGTTCCATAAGATATCCGATAGCTTTAATTTTACAGTCACTGCCTTAAATTGATATGTGAGCTAACTTAGGATAGAGAGAATAATAGAGAAAAGGCATAAGGTATTCAAACAATAGTTATATTGAAAATGAAAGAAAAAAAATAATAAATAACAGCATCTTAAAATTAAATTTAATACTTATTCAAATCGATCCTTCATTCAAATACAACTGTTGTTGAAACATTTAAATCCTTCTGAAAGCACATTTCATTTTATCCATGCATTTTTAATCCAAAATACCAACAATCCTGTAAAATGCTATAACTATGCCTTGAAACACTGTTATTAATGAAACACTATGCATATACAATAATTAAAGCATAGTATTGTTGCCTACACTTCGGAGATTTTTGGACATCGAGTCAATCAAGTCTCGTGGTACCCACAAATGCTTCTCAGGTAAATAATCACCAAATTGCTGAATTAAACAAGTCCAACTTTCTCAAAAACCACTGATAATTTGGTCCCATCTTTCACTCATTGTCGCGTGAGCTGTAATTATCCCTTCAGCTTAAATTGGCTTGATCAATTAGACTACAACGTTTACTAATGCTGTGCACTGATCGTCACCAGTAACATCTTTTTCCGTAATAGTGTATATGACCTGTTTAGCATACCACTCGTGGAAAAATTACTTTAATTCTTCTTTGTACTCTTTATTTACTATCAAGTCTAGTGGTTGAAGACAGACTGTACAAGAGGCAGGCACAAACAGGGGAGTGATTCCACTGTATTTCAATAAGGATTCACCTTCGCACTTTGGCGGGCTCTAAACACATCAAATATTGCCACTGCTTGCTAATTGCAATGCGTAAGGGGCAGCCGGTCACGTGTTTTGTTCACATATGGAATGATGACATTATCCACATAACGTATCACAGATTCTTCGTTACTCCATTATGTGTCTATTCGAGTCACATTCCATTGGTCATGTAAAACTATTAGGCAGGCATTTGTCAGACTACCTTGAATAAATGACTTGAGGGGGCAGGAGATTTCCGGATTTGGTTATTGCGAGTAAAATTGTAATCTGCCTATTGCCATCAAGTTCGGAAACTGACACTTGCTTAGATCCAAGAGCTTCCATTGTCCAGACGCCACCTGCCACCAGTTGGCACTCGGTCTGATCCCAATTTATTACAAGACAGTCTGGAATATTGTGCTGTTTCTCCAAGAATATATTCTTAATGTCTCCAAACTCACGGTGCAGCTGTTTTACGCTTTTCTTTGCTTGGTGGTGCTGATGTGTTCGCCGCAACGTGCCATATGGCTGAGAACATGCTTGGTGATGATAGCTTCTGCCCCAGCCATTTAAATCATAATACTGATTATGATTTTAATTCTAACTTTCTTGATCTAATCTTTATCTCCGCATCAAGAATGCTTCCTAGCATCAAAAGATTGCCCTGGGGTGATTTGAGTAAATTAGAAATTTCTCGCCCATCTTGCTATTTTAACTTTATGCATTGGTCCCGCATACTCCGTTAGTGAATTTACGGTCTGACTTGGCAACACCATTATCGACATAGTATCCGGTTATCTTTGCCCAGATTTCCCCGTTATAACTATTATACTCTCCTCGCTTTCTTTTCCAGGACAGTGACTAAAGCATGGGTTCTAATGCGTCATTTGCTGCCTAGTAAGCAAACACCTGCGTAGTGTTCGCGGCTTCTGACGGGTAAGGAAGTCCAAGAATGGGGGGGTCTAAGTTGAATTTTACCACTCTTAAGATACTGTGTTAACGCCATGATCGTCAGAAAGTACTGATGGTGTAACTTGATGCACAGTGGTTTAAGTAAATCATTCATATGTACTTTAATAATCGACTGGCCTAGTGTTGTTGGTTGCGTTGGCTTTCTTTGATGTTGAGCACTCAAACGAGAACATGGAGAAAGTAATTAATGTTGACAAGTGTTATATTTGTGCTCATAGAGCTGGAAGTATTATTTTAGTGTTCTTGGCTGCGTCGGCTTCGACTGGTCTTATTCACTTGGTCGAAAACATGGTGTAAAAAGGGAACTTGAAGGTCTTTAATTTGTTTAATACTGGTAGTAGAATTGTTTTAAACATTAAGTGACCTTCATTTGAATCGGCATAGTTTTATTCTTTTGTATTCTTTCTTTTGGGAATTTGTTGAGATTAACCCATGAAATTAAATACCTACTAATATGCATATTTTGACAAGCAAAACCACGAATTTAAGTACCCACGAAATGCATTTTTAACAAAACCACAAAAATTGAGACCAACAAAAATAAATGATATTACTGTACTCTGGTTTCGTTTTTCTTTTTCTTTTTGTTGCGCACAATGATATCAGAGGATGATTTATGTATATTGTGCATATTTCGAAACAGTAAGTTCATTTCATCCTATGTCCTACGTGCGAAGCGCTTTGGATGGCAAAAACCGAATAAATCAAGTGCACAGACTATGTAGGGTTGCATAGTCTGTGTATAAATGCCTCATCGTAAGACTAAATCTTTACATTATGGAACATCTTGTCAGTGAGCAGTATACTTAAGGACTTGCACATCTTCAGCTATATAGGCATGTGAGTTATTTATTAATTTATTATGTGCATTATAAGTTATAACTATTGTACTATCATGCTTATTTTTTATGTAGCTTCGGCTACAAATATTTTCTATTCTTGTTTGTGACTTAGCGAGAGATTTATATTAGCAATATTCAGTTGCATTTTTAAGAAACGTTTTGTACAATATGATTCTTATCGGACACAGGTAGGTTCGCTTCTGAACATATTTATTGCTTTGTAATGAATGTTGTGCCAATAATGTAATTTATATAGCTTAGCTCCAATCTTACCATATATAACGTCATTACGTGTTATCGTATATGCCCATGTCATTCTTAGTACACTGTTATATTTATTTTTATTTGGAGGTACCAGCTGTAGAGCTGACCATAGAAGCTGTAAAGCTGTATTGCAACAGTAGAGCTGACTGAACAGTATATTTCTGGTTGAGTGATCTGGCATTACTGACCGAATGGTGGACGCTGATTGCTTGATTGACCAAGGAATTGTAAGGTGGTCGGTGACTACCTGCAATGCTGACTGTTTGATTGACCAATATGACTGGTAGTCAAGTATATAGTGACGGAGTGTTTTGTACAACTCAATATATGTAATCTTTAATCCATGGGCTAATTTTGGAGTTAGTTATTTCCAGTGTTTTCGGACTGTGAAGATATTTTGTATATGTCCCTTTCTTGTCATCAGTTTATTATTTAAAGTACCCCATTTTTCTCTATTTGAGTGAATACATTTTACTATAACAGTAAAGTACATAATTTTTTTTTATTTTTCTATTTGAGCAAAACACATTACTCTCGTGTGAAATTTACTGTAAATCATTAATATTTGTTCTTTCCCCCCTCTTGAACTGTTCACCCGAATGCTTTTGAGATAATTATTAATTTGAAAATGGCATCAAAAGCGAAGAAACAAAACTAGCCAAAAGGACGGGCAGATACAGAGACGAAAGTAGACACAAGAGAAATTTTGAAACTTTGTGTGTTCCAGTATATGGCAAGAGACCGCTCCGGAGGCCTAGTGGTAGAGCATCCGCCTCGGAAGCGGACGGCTGCGGGTTCCTACCCCGGCCGAGTCATACCATCTGGGGGACACCGGCTCTTGGTACTGGTGGTTGTGACTGGCGTTCCTGTTGTGGAGCCGGTATTTGCTGTGGATACGTCCTGACCTGTCTTGACTTCACACAAAGGCCTAAGTATGAAGTGAGCCATGATCCTCTTCACTACTTTTTCGTGCCTCTTCTTCTATTCTGGCACAATTATCTAGACCTAGACCAGAGGTAATCATATTCATAAAGATTGAAAAGTACTTGGCGAACCCTTCATCCCAAACGGCATCACTTTATATTGACAAAGTCCAAATAGAGTCACGAATGCCGATATTTCCATTGCTCTTTCCGTTAGTGTAATTTACCAAAATCCTTTTAGAAGATCAGATTTGGTGAAATACTTAGCATTTCCAATTTTATCAATACAGTCATCTATTCTCGGCAACATAAATTAACCTGATTTAATCACATTGTTCACCTTCCTATAATCAGTATATATACAGAAAGTTTTATCTGGATCCGGAACAAGTATACATATAATTAAAATTACTTTTACTTTTACTGGGCTTTATGAAATCATTCTCCATGAATTACTGAATTTCGTTTTCCAAGTATTCCAGTTTGAGAGAGTTCATCATGTATGGATGTTGTTTCACAGCTTTGGAATTTACAATGAACGTCTTCTCGTAGGAACTCTGGAAATAAGTGCTCATATTCAAGCAATAACTGCTTAAGGTCATTCCTTTCTTGTTGTTGCAAATGCGAAAGTGTCTGGTCTAGATTATTCATAATGTCTGTCTCTCGAAAATCAATACAGTTCATTTGCATTCCTTCACATAAATTCTCAGTGAGTGGGACAAATACAATTAATTAATTGCATGAATTACCCGGCTATTTCTCTCAACATACTTATGCTCAATTAATTTATTTAGATTCTAGGAGTACTATTATTATAATTTCCCTCATTCATTTTCATCTTAACTTTGCAAGAGCCGTAATTTTGATGAATGAGCAAGAGAGAAAGAATTATATTACTAGAATCAAAAGTTCTGTTCATTAAAGTTCTGTAAAACAATAATTTCTCTTTTGACTTTGAACTGCTGAATGCATAATTTAAGCATAACTACCTAAAATATTCCAGACATAATATTTGATCCTTGACCAAACTGTACCGATTTGGGAAGGCCAAATTGAGTAAAAGAAACTTCATCAAAGCTTTTATCATTCTTTTATTTTTAATATTCCTCAAAAGATTTTCTCTGTGAATCTTGTTGACCCAAACATAATGCTTAATAAGTATTGGTTGCCTGACTTAGTCTTAGGTAAGAGACCTACACAATCTACCATTATTCTTCTATATGGTTCATCAAAGGCAGGAATTGGTTGCAGATGAGCCTTAAGTATCTTTTGATTGGGTTTTCCTACCATTTGACAAGTATGACAAGACCTGTATTAGTTACAAACTTCACATTTGATTTTCGGGCAATAAAAGTAAATCGAGATCTTGTGATAAGTTTTATTAACCTCTAATTTACCAGACAAACGAGATTCATGGGCCAGACTAAGTATTTTCTGTCTGTATGTTTTTGGTATTACAGTTTGATAGTTCACTCACTAATTGTTACCAGCAGGTACCTTGGAAGGTCTAAGCATTTGTGCATAAGAATCTCGTGTAATAAAATAATAGACAGGTACTTCAGTGGCTTCAGTTTCACTAATGGCCCTTTGAAACAAATAAATCTGAGGATCTTCTTCATGTTTGACGACAAGTGATTGTTTAGAATAAAGAGAATTAGTTGAAAGAGGATCACAGTGATCAATACCTTTCGATTGATCCAAACAAGGAGGGAAAGTGACCACATCAAAAGCCTGACCAATAAATATATCAGCTAAATAAATAGTTTAATGAATAACATCATTCTTCTCAAGAGCTTTCTTTGCCATAGCTCTAGTAGTTGCACAAACTAGGTATAAATCATTGAATTCGTTTTCAATAATATCTGCTTTTTTGTCCAAACAATGCTTGTCAATTACAAGTAGATTAACCACAACCTTATCTTCATTTAGGTCATTACTAGTAATAAATAACTGCTCAAAACGGGTAAAGAATACGGTATTCCGACTGTCACGTGTCCTGAGACTAAGTCTAATGACAAATTTGCAGAATGGAGAGGAACATTAACAAGGCTGCACTCTACTAAGTACTCAGTTCTAAACTACGGCTTTCTAGGATTTTCTTTCGTCGGTCTTTAAAGCCCACATTGAGAGGACTGTCCTCTTCTGTCAGAGCTGTGTCGATAAACTTGTTCATGCCAGCTCTGCCAGGTTTCCATACGACGCAACCATCCAGATGAGTGCTCTTGATCTCTTTTCCGTATGTCAATATATTTTCCAGGTAGGCTACGTCAGGGTAAGTATCCATGCTGCTACTGCTTAGTTTGTAATTCAAAAACGAGTCCACTTCACTGTACTGGGAATGCATTGAATTGTTGACGGGAGCTACTCTATCATTGATCGTTTTGTTCACTTTGACGTTCAGATGCAAGTAGATTCTGTTCAGATCGATGTAATCTTCGGGCTGTCCTTTGATTTCAAACTCAATAGGAATCGGATCCGTCAAAGATAAGACCGGATAAAATTCTACCCATTGGGATTCTTGCATCGTGATTATAGTGAGTGACATAAAACTGATCCATTTCTGACTTGGAACATGTTCACATTCTCGGTGCAACATGTTTCCTCTTCCCATGATTTTAATAATCAAAAACGTCTAATTCTCGTAGACGGTTCATCTTTTCTTGGTCTTTCTAGCTCTGGGGGTGTAAAGTCCTCTGGAGGCGTTTCTTCGTCGTCATCTCCTTCTGTCTTGTCCTTGCTGTGGTGTCAGGAAAGCAGGAATGACTAAATCAGCAGCGTCCACAGCATTTATAAGAGTTTCTCGCCGACCCAAAAATGTCTTTGCCTATTTCAAGCAAAAAAAATTTGCTTACTCTCAAAAAAGCGTTATTTTTAGATTTGTTTGTCGATGATTACATTTTGAAGAAATTCTTTGCCTTGCGCCACAGCGGAGTCTTTCACGGTGTGCATGCCTTATGTCAGCATCGGTTCCAAAAGAAATGTAGATTCAGCATGTCTCCTAAATAAACCATGTCCTCGCTGTCGAGCGCTCCTCGCTACATTGGATACATGACAAATAAGTCATGATAAAATCGGTTTCGAAAATGGAGTTTCACCGTGACTTTCCCTTTGGTGAATATAATATTTTATCTCATAGCTCCTTTTGTAGCTATGATGACAATGTCAAAATACGACTTACAGATGGGCATATACTGAAGATGTACAAGGTCACCGTGAATGTGATAGGTGTTTCCATTTTCCTCGTCTGACTTCGTGGCAGAATCCACTTTGAAATGAATGGAACGCAGTAACGGTACTGAGGTGTGTCTCACAACTTTGTACTCCATCGCATCGGAGTACACAAAAATCAGATATAATTCTTGGTCCAATTCGACCGGAAATCGAAAAACCATCGCAAAAGTCGCGTTGTCAAATATGGTTCGTGGTATGATTAAAAGACTGACGTTCTTGAGGTCACCACCCAAAATGTAATACAATTCACGACAAAATCCTATGGACACCACCTTCCTTTCTGGAAATTCAATACAAGGCGAAAACCCACTTTATGGTGTTCAATTATGACACTATTTATGACACTCTGTAAGGCTTTGCCAAAGAGTGCCTTTAACCTGGAATCAAACATGTTCACAAGATGTTTACCACTTAAATAATGCCCTATGGGAATATTGAACTAATAGAAGTACCGTGGAGTATGGGGGGACACTGATCGTTTATCATTGGAAAGTACAGTTTTGTTTTCGTTCAAGTATTTTAGAATTTAGTCGTTCAGAACTTTGACTTAAAAAGAAGTTTGCTTATTAAGGATATTTAGGACTTGTGTAGCATGAATAATTTCCTACCAAATCCACTACCTAATGGGCTTCGTGATTGAATTGGATGGTCTGAGGTAATTTGGCCATAAAAGAACATAATGTGTTTTTGGGACACACATCCATGGGACTGTCACTGGGTAACATTAAGTAAAATTGATCTTTCATAATTCCAGAGTTCTGCTGTACGAGGGGTCACTGGAGGTCAGACGAGTGTCTAAAAGGGGACTGTTGTTGTTAGGTGCTAACTGTTGGGAGAGTGACTGACGTTGGGCGTAAGACTCCCATTGTGACGATTGTCACGGAAGGATTTGGAAGAAGGTAACCGATGAAATTGCTCAGTAAAATGGTTCACAATTGTTTGTCTCCTTGATTCAAACTGAAATTGGCAATGGCAGCACCGATTGCATAACACATCACAACGATTTTGCAGAAAACGAAGATTTGCGTTTTAGGAACACGTTCTCCACTCCACAAATGTTGCTTTTGTGAATCTTGCACAGAAAAGCTGGGTGAAGGAGTAGCGAGGCCGTTTTGAAGGGCATAATGGTCATTGCATTTTATAGTCGATGACCTGCGAAGAGTCGATCCAAGAGTCGAAACGTACTCTGACTTCTTTAATACGACGTTTTTCCCAATTAAGGTTTTTTATCAAGACTGCTTTAGATCTCGTATACTTCATCTACTTTTTGAGTCAGATGTTGTAACTCGAGTAAGTAAAACGTTCCTTTTAACACTTTCACGTTTATGTCTTCCAATTTATAGACAGTTTGAAGACGGCCACGCACTCGTACAAAACAATTCGGTGGTCCAGTTGGGTAAGTAACCTTTGTCGAAATTGCGTTTGGTTTTGCCAAAGCGCACCTAATCTTCCATCATAAGCACGTCATCTTTCTTGTGGACAGTCACAGTCGGGACGTACCAATCAGGCGCTCAAAGACGGTGATTTCGTTGTCGGGAGCCACTTCTTGGGGGCACAGCCAATGCTCCAATGATAAGATTGGTTGTACGACTGTAAAATGTGATATAAGACGTCGATGTACTTGAGAGTGTATTGATGCGTAAAACTAGTTCTACGTCCGT